GGACATCTGGGCTTCTTGTTGGCATGGCTGCTGGATCTCGGTAGTGCGAAGTCTTCTGTTATGAACTGCCCCGAGACTGGGAGATGTAGATCCAAATGCAGCTTTATTAAGAATAGTCGTACAGGCAGGGTCGAGAATTGGCAGACAGGACAATGGAGAATAAACAAAGGGAATCCAAGAAACAGGCAGAGGTCAGGGCAGGCAGCAATAATCAGAATCCAAGAACAATCCAAAAATCAAAAACCAGAAAACAAACACGGAAAACGCTCAGAAATGCAGACACACAGTACAACAAGGAACCGCTTAGCAAAAGGGCCTGGTTAATATAGTCCTCTAATGTCCCGTGACGATTGTGTAAGGGCATGAGTGAACTGAGTGGTTCAGAGAGTCCTCCTCGGAAAAAGATCATTAAACACTCTGTGCTCATTGAGGCGAAAATGGGCCAGTTCAAATGAACTCAGAAACATAGTCCTCGACGGACCGATTCTCCTGACGGAGACGCAAGATTGGACATCTGGATGCAGTTGTAACACTTAAACAAGACTTCGCAAACACTGAATGTGAACACAAGGTATATATAGACACACTAACAGGATGAAGACACAGGTGAATGCAATCAGTGAATGAGGTACAGGTGAATGTGATCAGTGATGAGTCCGGGCAGTGAGTTCTGGGAAATGTAGTTGTGAGGGAAACATGAACATCTGGTGTGGAGTGCCCTCTGGTGACTCTCAAGGGCACTCCACCTGGTGACCGTTACACTAATCTGTCCATTTGTTCTCAATGTCCCACCACACAATAAATCATTCGTCTAGAAGACGCATTCAAAATGCAATTTTTAAAGATTTGTTTGAAACTGTTTGGAGCAATTTGTTATATTTTTGGTTAGCTATTTGTAATACTGCATTAAAGAGTATATTTGATGTGATGAATTGCTCTGTCATTTATCAGATTTACTAATTGTTATAATTTCAATTTGTTCTGGTTAATTATGAACAATGGGTAAAATTGGGGGCGAGGATGGGTGGGGCGGGGCTTCATTATGGCTCCTCCCCTAACTGCGTGTGATCTCACTCCAAGCTTTTGCTCAAACTTGAGAACCCTGTATACGATTATATACGATACCTTCAAAGAACATTTTTATTCACACTTTAATAAAATGTCAACAACAGAAGACTTGTCCTTCAAGCCTTACATATTCGAGCCAGAGCGAGCGAGTTGATAAAGACTATGACGTTCCTGCAGAACAATGTGAGTTAACTGTTTTGTGTTATTAGTGAAAGTTGACTATTTCTCTTGTTAAAACAAGCACACTGACAAGATAAATGACTACGTTCTAATCTTACCACAAAAAAAAATCTGTATTGACAATATGATACATTTAGAAAAGCATCAGAAAACAACGCAGCTAAATGAGCATTGATGAAACTCAAGAACAATAATACTGCAGACGTGTAACGTTACTTCAAAACAAAAACAAAGTAAGACAAAGGTACTGCTAAACCATGACCACCATGTGTTTTAAGAAAGTAAAGTACTTTATTTTTATTAACGATATTTACAACTTATCGAAATGCTCTGTTCGTCGTCTCCAAAGATAGAAGGAATTTACCTCTCATTCAGACGAAGTCAATCGGCAAACCCTTCTTTATACTGGCGGAGGTTGTTGAAGTGGGAATCCTTGAAGTGCTTCAGGTCACTAACGTAACTGTTACATCCAAAAACCGAACATTTTGACTTGCCCTCTCGTAACTTCTGCATCATTAAGCTTGGACTACAAAATCGGAGCGAGAAATAATAATGGCGGATTGCTGGAAGTTTTGGACCAGTAGTCAATAGGCTTGTTCGACTTCATGCAGCTCTGCGCAGACCGATCGGCGGCTGACTTGAAACAGTGCATGCCGGTTAGAAATTTTGTCCGACTTGATGCAGCGCTGACTCCACGTGACTGTGATGTATGCCATCAAAGTACCGCGAAAGCGATACAAGAGTAGCCGGAGGACTCAGCCAGCGCAGCTTCTCAAGAGCGGCTGCACGAGCTCTGATGATGTCACAGCTGTTCCACGATTCGTCGGATTCAACGCATGACAACGATCACGTGCGTTTCGTGTTTATTCTTGCACATTTAGTTCCACTAAAGCTCACAAATCTGTTTTCTATAACAGTAAACAGTCTTTTCATGTAGTCCCGATGTTATATTGTGTCATGTTTATCAGGTTTATCAAAATAAAACTGATTAAAAAACGTTGACTCCACGTCATTGATTATAGGCTTATTTTGAACTTTATTCCAGTTCAAACAGATGCTGTATGAAGCAGTAAAGTGTTGAATGAAAATGTGTCTGAAATATCTGTTTATTTGGCAAATGTTGCATTTATTTCACTTAGGCTGTGGTAAAGCATGCAAACACCACGTAAGCCGTCAGTACGGGAACCAGAAATTGTCCGACTTCACGTCTCCATTTGCAGCTCCTCCCCGCCTGCACGCGGCTATTCTCGCCGATCGGTTGCATCCAGCCGCAGGCGATGTTCGAACACACCTAATATCTTTATTTGGCAGTTCCGCTGCAAATACGGTGACGCACTTCCTCAAAAACGTCATAGACAACAGAAAAATCTGAACAGGTTGAAAAATATGACCAAAACAGAATATAAAGATATAAACGAAGCACCTGAAGAGAATAATTGAATCTTTTCTGTACTTATAAACACTCCAAATATACAACAAAATGCAATTAATGGCTAAAAAAGTGGATTTTGCATGATATGTCCCCTTTAAGATAGGAGTTCATCCAATCTGATCTCACTGATGCATGAGACACACAAGATACTTCAGAGACCGACCATGAGAATACGAGCTAGGAACAGGAAATACGAACACGTGCAGGCGCGGGTTTATTTTTTCCTAGAGAAATAGCTCTGAGATTTGAGTATTTCCTAGAGAAATATCATGGCTTGCACAGTGTTCGGATGTACAAATGAACACAAAGTATTTTTTAGTTCCTTCATCCGCGCCTCTGAAGAAACAATGGGTTAATTTTATTTTCGCTGTAAATGCGCCGACTCAACTCCCAAAGTTTTGTATTGTCCAAACAGCCCGGAGACAGGTAAGTTAATCTTTCTCTCAAAATCGTTCAATACTGTTTCTTCATCAGTAAGTCAAGCCAGACTATTATCAATTTCACATCGTTTCTTTGAGTAGGATGAAAATAATCTTATTTAAAGAAAGTGTTTAGCAGGATTGATATTCTAAAGGGTAACGTTAAGCACGCGCTGGTTTGTTTACGTTGTGTTTATCTGCAGCCGGCAGCGTCAGTTTTCCTTTTTGAATGACGAATATAGACTAATATATCTGCAGAATAGACAGTTGGCTCATTAAATACAGGTGCAAACGCACATTAGGCTATAGCTGTCAGTCTGCTGCTGTTCTCTCGGTGAGTTCAAGTGCTGCTTTTTACCTCGAGGAGAGCGGACGAGTTCCGCGCTTTAGAGAGAACATAAACTGCGTTACACTGCACAACGAAGCTCTTACTGTATGTACATCATCGTGTCTGCATTGGTGAAAGCAGAGAAAGCAGAAACTGTGTTATACAATAAGATCTTCATTCTCGCGATCGACAGACTCTCATCTGCAGCTCAATGCTCATCACAGCAACATTTTATGTGATGAGAATCTAAATACTTCAAAAATTTCTCACGAATCAGTAATCTCGATATCTGTAATAATAAAAACGTATAATAGCTGTAGTAAAACGTATTCAAGAGAGTTTCACATGTAATATGTAGCTATTTCATATGCAAGCATGTCAGCCAATCACAGCAGTGGGCGGTTACATTGAATCCTACAGAAGACACGCCCCTTCAAACAGAGCGTTCTAAGCAGAGGCTAAAATCAGGCTGGGAAAAATGCCTTTTATTTCTAACTATTAATAAGAAATAAAATGACTTTTATTTAGACTATTTTTGATCTAAAAAAAACATACTAACATTATAAGGTCAACCCAGGAAACATTATAAAATAATAATAATAAAAAACATGTCAGGGGACCTTTAAGAGCAGCTGTCTCAGCCC